GCACGTTGATGCTGAAAGTTGCGTTCCACTCAGCTGCCTCAGAAACCCGGTAAAACTGGACATCATCCTGCTGGTTTCCGGTCTTTAAGATTCCTCTCTGGGTCAGACTGTTGATCAGACTCAGGTCGTGGCTCAGCTGGTACAGTCTCTCCTTTGTGGCGACGTAAAGTGTATTTGAGGTCACGGCGAACTGACGGATGTCTCCATTAAACGTGAAGCCTCCATCCTCCTCCAGGCACAAACCCGGTTCTCCGCAGAGAACAGAAAGCAGAGCGAGCAGCAGGATCATCTTGAACCTACAGCAATACTTCCTCTACACAGCGAAGTCTGGCACGGCACTCGGCGCTCTCTCTCTGACGTGGTGTCTCAAGACTTGTGCGTAAAAGCGCAGCGTGGGTCTAAAAGCTGAGACGAATACTGCCTTCGTCTGTTCGGCTTTTTTACATTCTGTCAGAAATTATATCTAAGAGACAAGTTAACAGTAGCAGCCTCTCTCTCAGTGCCATGAAGTCAGAAAAAACTAAGGAAGACAAGACACATCCTCTTTCTGACGTGCACAGTTGTCAAAAGTGTGCAGCCTTAAGAGCAGCACCCTCTCAGTGTCTTCATTTCCGAAAAAAAGTTTCGCTTTGTACCCCTGCGGTGAACAGGAAGTAGTTCAGCGTTGTATTCTTATAGCAATAATGATTTCTTGGTTTTCGCTGCATATGTGTTTGTGAGTAGCCAGAAATAGTTACAACTATACCCGGTCTCCCCTGTTTCTGGCATTTGTTGCTTTCGAGCTCTTTTAAAGTAGTGGATGCAAAATGTAATGCAAACTATTTACATGTCTCTGCTGTTAAATAGTACAGCTGTTTTCTCAGCAATACAATTAATACTTGCATGGTATGGTCTCAAACACAAAGAGTGAAATGATACAATTAACCCCATAGTCTGGGTTAGTTGTATGTCCTGTAACACAATGAAATAATCATTTTTATTCAAAACCTTAATGCACGCACACACACACAGCTTCAGTGATCCCTTGCTCTCCTATGTAGCAGCAGGGAATCACCACTCAGAGGAAGAAAATGTAGTTGTGCACCAGCATCTTCATTAGTACAGGTGTGGGGGTTTCAAAACATATTTATAGGACTTTGTTTCTGAGTGAAACAAGTGGTAAATGGCTCCACTGCAGGGGAGCCATTTCAGTGACACCGGGCCTGGAGGGAGAGGTGTGTGTGTGTGTGTGTGTGTGTGTGTGTGTGTGTGTGTGGAGTCGGCCGGAAAGCTGCTCCGCAGTGGTGGTGAAAGATGGTGTGAGGACAAATCTCTGTTCACAAATCTCAAACATGAAAAGTGTTAAGTGTCGTGACTATGGTTACAATATAAAATCATAATTAATGATAAACAGAATGCCATAAACAGCCCGTTCACTCAAAAATACAGAGAATATTTGAACATGCAAACAATTTTTAAAAAAAAGGTTTAAGTAAGGCGTAAGTGCTTCTGTAATGCACGGCTGGGTTGTTGATGAACAGTGGCATGTGACTCGTGGTCTAGTTGACCACAAGTGCAGCGTCGTCACATTTCCTGATCCAACAGACTCAAGTGAATCAGTTCTCCATTTGTGTCCAGCATTATGAGAACTGTCCTCTCTCTTGTTAAAAAGAATATTTTCACAATGGTATATATTTATGCCCCTGAAGTCTTTTTTTCTGTATGTATGAATATCCAGGAACAAAAAAGAGGCACAATTACAGTAGTTCCCTTTCCCTCAACACAGAGTAAGATGAAGTTTAAGTTTTAAATCAATAAAAAAACATTAGCTGAAAACTAGATTTCGACACTAAAGCTGATTTCCGGAAGCTAATAACAACCCTCTTTAATTGTGACACAATATAAAATAATCTCCACCAAGGTGTTCTCAATAAATGCTGCCATACAGTGTGTTTGGGTCCCATAAATATGCATCACATACTTCTCCTTTAGTCCTCTCCAGTTTTTCTGAAACCTCTAAAAGGACCCTTACTGGATTCAGTCGCCTTGGTCGGGAGTCAGACCCCCAACCTGAAGTTGCAAAGGCGTGTAGTGTTGTGCTGCCAGACACTCATGGAGTGCAGTTAGTTTCTTTAGCCAGTAGGCATGAATCGTGCCAGGGTCTGGTGATGTCCAGGCTTGCTCCAACTCAAGCCTTGGAATGGATGCTGTTCTCATATTGTTCCGACACAAACCTTGTTAATCTAGATGATGTCTGAGCTGATATAGCTTCAGTTTTGTCTCTCTTGCTCATATCCCAGGAGTAGCATGTGGGACCTAGGCTGGAAAGTGTACTGGATACACATGCCCTGGCGCATTATCTTTGCCGTTCCCAGGACTACGCTCTTCTGGACAGAGATCTCTGATATCACTCCTGGGATCTGCTGGAGCCACTGGCTCAATTTGGGGGTAGCTGCCCCGATGCTGCAGTTATCACACTAGTACTGTTGCCTTCACCCTCCACATCTTCTCAAGCTCCCCCCTCAGCCCTTGATATTTCTCGGGCTTCTAGAGTTCCCTTTTGCTGATGTTGCTTTCACTGGGTATAGCTGGGTGAAAACTTTAGGGGGATTTAGATAAAGGGGAGAGAGTAATTGAAAACGTATTTATTTAGCTATTTATTTATAAGTAAATAAGGTGGAAAAACACTAAACACTCACTCAGAATATGATACATGCCATCCAAAGCCCCCAACACACATCTGCGTCATCCACGCATCTATTCCAGTAGAAGAAGCAGGAAGGGCCCAGATGGGTTTCCCATAGCTAAGGGGTGAGAGTCCCAGAGGACCAGAGGTAGTCGACCCCGCTAGAGGCTGGCTGCCCTGGTCCGAGAACAGGGTCAAAGGGCCACAGGTGCCCAAGAACCACCCGGCAGAGCCCCTCCCATCAAGGAGGTCCTAGCCACCCCAAGCAACCAAGGGAGTGGGTCAGTGACCACACCAGAACATCCAGCTCCCCCCCGAAACCAGCAGCAAACTGGGACGGTGCCCCAAAAACTGCCTGTAGCCCCTCATCCCGGGCAGGGTGTGTGAAACAGGTGTAGGGATTCCCCTTTATAAACTCAGAACCTTTGTTATCACTTGTGGCCACCAGAGGCCGCTGTCCTCCCTAGGAGGGAGCTCATACAGGACTAGCTGAAGTAGCATTTTATGAAAGCAGACAGACATAATGTATCACACAAGAAAGTTTTTTTCTGTTTTTACAATGACGACCCAAACTAATAGTAAAACAGTGCTTTGGTTGTTGCAAATTAAGAGTTTTAACAAGCAGCAGCACACTGAGTCAACCCTCTGTGGGTCAATAACATCCACAGCAAAGTGAGGATAATTTCATTGCTTTCTTAATGTTCTGCTGTGGATCAAAGTGTCTGTTGGACTGATGTTAGCTAACATGCGGCTGGTGTCACGGCTGTTCAGGCAGGACTTAAATGCGGGACTCAGAGCTGTGCATGTAAAGGGAGGTTTATTTACAACAACACCAAGTGAAATATATACACATATGTACACATTTAAGGGCCTTGAGGTGACTTTTGTTGTGATTTGGTGCTATATAAATAAAATTGAATTGAATTGAATTACAGTGATGAAGGGACACGGGCCCCAGGAAATCTAGGGGAAGGTCCAGGGCAGGGGTCCACGTCCACAGTCCTCTTCACACTGTCTGTGACTCACTCGTACTCAATCCACTCCCACGCTGAAACTCACTGACACTCATCCAAGCAGGGTCCACATGAAACAGGCAGGGATCCTGAGGATCGTTAGGAAAAATCAGGAATCACTATGAGACTCGGAGATTCACAAAGAGAGCTGGGACTACACTAACGAAGGTAAGCACAACAACCCAGCAATGAACAACAGTCCGCCGTGGCTTTAAGTAGTGGCAGAGCAATCATGCAGCAGGTGAGTGATGATGAGCAGTCGTGGAGATTGAGGCAGGGACCAGGAGGAGGAAAGAAGAGGGAGAGAAAACATCCAAAACAAACGGAGCTCTAGAGAGGACCGGAGGATCAGGACACCTGGTGTGGTCTTCTGCTGCTGTAGCCCATTTACTTTGTGTTGTGCACTTAGAGCTGCTCTTCTGCACACCTTGATGGTAACAAATGGTTCCTGTTGCCTCACTATTGGCTCAAAGCAGTCTGACCATTCTCCACTGACCTTTGGCATCAGGAAGATATTTTCCCCCAGGAAAATACAGCTCACTGGATATCTCAACTTCTTTATACCATTTTCTGTAAACCACAGAGATCATTGTTCTGGAAAATCCAAGCAGAATCAGCCTGTCTGGCATCAACAGCCACGACACATTCTATCATCTTTCTTCACCATCGTGATGCTCAGTTTGACCTGAACAGGCACACATAATAAACTGGCTGCTGGATGTATGCAGCGTGACTCTACTGGACTATACAGTTTTGGTGCCATGTTCTCAGACTGTATATATTTTCTTTGTCTGCTTTCTGCTGCATATAGTTTCACGAGTATCATTTTGCTTTTCTCAGTTTAATGATTTATATTGTCTAAAGTTTTAAATAACTCCACATTTTTGTCTAAGGAGCTTGGAAAGAAAAGCATCTGGACTGTTTTAAGTTGCTTGAAACTGGCTGAACCTTCACAGACAAACTCCCCACTTTGTTTTTGTGTCTGAACACGTTTTAGTCCACTGTACATTTCTGTGGTGCTCTTTTTAAAGTCAGCCAGGGTTTAATAAAAGTGAAAAAGTGTCTGTGTTTACATGTCATAGCACATTTAAGTTGTGCGTGTCATTTGCCTAAATGCCGCCAAAACACTGGAAAAAATCTAACATAGACGGTTTGGAAGAATATCGTTTAACGTTTTGAGATCTTTGAAATCTTTAGGGGGTTTGGCGAAATGAGAGAGGAACTGGAAAATAGTGGAATTTCCCTTTAGAATCTCGAAGCCTGTGTTATCGCTCCCCGCCACCAGAGGCCGCTGTCCCCCTCGTTGTGCTCATGCAGCGGCACGCAGCATCAGCCCGGTCAGAGGCAGCAGAGTGTCGGGAACTCCAGCAGCTCCTCTCTATATATTTCCACTGAGGCTCTGTTTTTGGGATTCATTCATCCCCGTCAGAGCTGCTGCTCGGTCCGCCCGGACAGGATCTCCTCTTCCATCCACCCGTCCATCCACCTATCCGTGTTCACCTCCCCCTCTGCCCAGAGGTGCGCAGCGTCCGCATCTGCACCTCAGAAGGTCAGACACATTATTTTCGATCATCGGACCTGTCAACTTTTTTCTTTCTTGTTTTCCTCTCTTTCCCCCCCATTTCTGTCCTCTTGATTTCATCACCGGGGGAATTACTACTGAATTCAGCGGTCACCGGTGAGTCGCCCTGCCGGTGTTTTCTCGTGAGGCGAAATCCCCGCAATATACAGGCGTGGAAGCGATCAGACTTGTGGTCAGGCCAAGAGGTCTGATATATTAGCAGCTGAGGGAATCCTTTTAAGGAAGCTCGTGTTTCCTGAGGTGAGGTTGAGTCTCATGGGGGGAAAGTCTATCCTAAGTGTTGCTGGGATTGCTTTAAATTAACCTTAACCATATCTTAATGTAATTTAGTCTGTGGTCTTAATGACGTGTTGCAAGTTGGAAAAGTCTTGCAAGTCAGTTATTTAGGAAATTTAAATGGAGCAATGAAAGAGAAAGCCAGAATCCAGTCTTGTAATACAACCAAAAGAGTTCAGTCTTTATGAATATGCAGTTTCGTGTTACTCTGCTGCTTGATCTCCCTTCTCCTTCTCCATTCGCATTCATGGGCAGCCCCGAGTACTGCAGAACAGGCCAAATCTTTATGGGATTTAGGGTCCTGTCGCCCAGCACTGGTGCCTGCCAAACTGGGCAGAAGAAGAGGGGCAAGGAAATGCTGAGTGGCTTTGATATACTGCTTATGCACTGAATTTCAATCAATTCAATCTGGACTGAAGGCCAGATAAGAATAATAATTAATTAATAAATAGTAATAATAATAATAATGAAAAATAAAATGCATGTACTCATTATATTTAAAACAGAGATAAATGTTGCTATATTGTGTTTATAATAGCTTAAATAAGTGTATAATAGTCCTTTTTGTAAACAGAGCTGTGAAGCACTACAGTCTCTGCCTTCTGATGAAGCTTTGTAACTGGTGCACTTACTAAAAAACACAAGTACAACTGACATACTCTCAGTTTTTGCTACTTAATATCCCTTGAACTGAACTTCCAAGTAGATTATGATTACATAAACACGTGTTAACCTATAAGAAAAAAATCACCGCAACTAGTTACAATGCACTTTAATGTTAACACTAATTCATAGATAATAGCAACATATCATTAACATATAAATTAGTATGATGTCCAGAATGGGGCCATTCTGCATGGTATCGAGTTCAATGTTAAAGTTGCTCCTAAGGAAATCTCAGAGTACACACTGACTTATTTGTTAACAGGTCAAATGAGGCCAAACCTATTTACTTTAACTTGAATGAAATTTATTAGAAGAGTTGTGAAGAGTTCTGCTTTTATACTGAGCCACTCCTTCTTCTATTTATGTATCAGGATGATGATCATGTGACAGATACCCGTCACCCCTGGTTGGTGTTCCAGTGTCACCATATGGTAGAAATTTTTGGAATTTTTTTGTATAATATTAAAGCCTGGTCTGGATCGTTACTGAAAATCTAGCGTCTTTTTTCGGCTTTTACTTAACTAAAAATATAATTTAAACGTTTTCTTAGAGTCAGGGCATTGCAGAAGTATTTTCCCCACTAGTTTCCCTCCAGAGGCTGCGCACCATTTCACTGTATATTCTGATGACAGGCCTGCGGTTTGCCGTCTTTCTATAGCCTGTGGTGCAGCAGGTCTCCTCCCTTGGTTTGGAGCACTGAGGTCTGTAATCTCAGTCAACCACAGCACCACCACCCAGATTCATTTCTCAGGGTAAAAATTACAAAAAGGCCAGCTGGGCACACAGTGGAAAAAAATATATACACGTGCCCAGTTTGACAGTCTGGATGAAGTCCCTGCAGAGCAGAGGTCCACGTGTCGAAATAAGCACACTGCTGCATCCTGGACAGAGGGCATCGAGTCCATCAATCATCAGTCTTTGTATTTCTATGTTAAAGTTTTTGCCTCTCCTGAAAGTAAACAAGAACAGCTTCACAGAAACACTTTGACAGCACTGGCTATGTAGCCAATTATGGAAAAGTTTATTAAGACACAGTCTGATGAGGATCACAGGATTTGCTTTCTAATCTTGTAGTCATTTCTAATCACATGCTGTAGTTAGTGCTGACTGTGTTTAACCTTTGCCGTACACAGCGAGTTTGTCTTTCGCCTCTTTTATGTTGATTTGTTAAGAATGTTCTAATTAACGTTGAAACTCAATTTAAAGGAATGTTGTAGAAAATACAGAAATTCACTTATTTAGTCTCCTGATGGGAGTTAGCTGAGATCGCTCATTTGTACCTATGAAGTCTGGACACCCTTAGCTTAGCTTAGCTTAGCTTAAAAACAGTCTGGTGCTGTGAATTCCTAAAGCATTGCCATTACCATGTGTTGCTCAAAAACTGTCTGAGAATGAAGTCATCCCACCCAGCCAAAAAAAGCAAAGAAAAAAGACCCTTTTCTGTAATAAACTAGATGTATAAAATGGACGTAGTTCCTGTGATGCGTCAACGGTAGCATTTTGGCTAGTTAAGACTAGTAGTGTTGCTAGTTAAGACCAGCAGTCCCCAACCTCTTTTGCACCACGGGTCAGTTTAATGTTAGACAATATTTTCACAGACCGGTCTTTAAGGTGTTACGGAGCCCCGCAGGGGACATGGGAGAAAAAAAAAAAATTAAGACGGACTTTTGCAAGATTTCGCAAAACAAACTCGGGATCTCGCAAAAGTTTTAGCCGCATTCTTCGGAGGCCGCCAGCTCGAAGCCGACCGGGAGATCGAGGCACGATGTGCCGGGAAAGCGGTGTTCCTCCCGGCTGTAGTAGGTCTCGACCTCCCGTTAGCTTCGAGATGGTGGGTGTCAGATCTCCGAAAACGTCGGAGCACTTTTGCAAATTTGTGATGTCTTGTAAACCGAGCAGGTATCTGATGTTTACACAACTACATTCACACCTCAAAATATCTTAAAAGTGTATTTTGTGACGAAGAAAGAGTAATATTACAACTAAGTAGCTGCCGCCAATGTTGGAATGTTGCGAGATCTTGCAAAACTTTTGCGAGATCCCGAGTTTGTTTTGCGAGATCTCACAAAAGTCCGTCTTAATTTTTTTTTCTTCCATGTCCCCTGCGGGGCTCCGTAAGGTGTCGCAGATAAATACAACAAAATAAAATGATACGACCAAGACAAAAACTGTGGTATTTTGTAAATATAAGAATAAACACGAATTCACTGTGTAATTGTGTAACTATTAGCAGTGTCCTCCTAAAATCTGGGAAAAGACCCAGGGAAACCGAGTTAACGATATATACCCTGAAAATCATAAATTTCGCACCCGAGCCTCAACTCTTGTGGCCTGGTACCAAACCACTCACGGACCCGCCTGATGGGTTGGGGACTGCTGGTTAAGACTAGCAACACCAGCAGAAATGCATTCATAAGCCGTATATATGCGACAAACAGACACGCATGTCTGCTAACAGTACAGAACTTTATTGCTCAAGTATGTGTACACACACAATTGGGCTCAGGTTACTTCTTTGCTCTCAATGTACACTGCACAATAGGCAACAGACAATACAGACAATAGCAACATGGCACAAATAATAACACACTGGAAGCCTGGCAGATATAATGAACTGCCGGGGACATTTCTGCCCAGCCAGGTTTGGGTAGCACAGGGTGGCTGATCTGGAAATCTGTGTACGACCGTGGTCAAGAATTCCAGATGGTGGAGGGAAGGCCTGGCAGGCGCTCACTGGCTGTAGCTGCCTGTTAGTCAAAGTAAACACATCCGTAACTCTTGTATTCAGATGGATGAATTTCCCACAGAGGGCAAATACCTTAAGGAACTGAATTTTTGGCACTTCTAGTTGAACCAAAGATCATTTTTATTAACTTTAGAAAGAGTTGGGCCAACAGTTTTCACTAGTCTTTACAGCATGCTAGTTAAGCTAGACTACAGTCATGGTAAAGACTCACTTGTTGAAGTAAATCCGGAGATCTTTCTTTCCCTCTTCTTTTTTTTCCCCATCTCCAGATTCAAGCAGTGATTTGTTATCCAACAACAGTATCAGACTTCAGCTAGCCAGGTTTTTATCTTTTTATTTTTTTTAAAAAGAGCAGAAGAAAAAGAGGAGGCTCCATGTTTACAAGAGACAACATGCAAATGCACCTTTGTTAGCACTGGACGAGTGCAGTGCTAAGGTCAGCCAAGCTAGTCACAGCTTGTCTTATCTCTGTACCGCATGCAGGTGAGATGAAGTTGATAGTGATTACCACGTTTGACACATAAAGGTGGCAAACACACAGGCCGTGGTCTTTCAGAATGTGAGAAAAATTTCTCTTTAAAATGCATCCCTGCTTTACTTGTAGTGCTTATCCTGGCTCATAGCTGGGGTTTTTTTTCCTTTCTCTGGCTGATCCTATGTTTCTTTGACCTTGGATCCATGCTGAAACAACATATCATTTGTTTTTGTCTTGGCAGCCACTGGAATTTGTTCTCTGTCAGAAAAAAGCTCTACATGCGTTGAGTAAAATAGAGAGACACCTCAGCTTCACTAAAGCAGATCATCCTGTGACTTCATTGCATGACTGAGGTGTGTGCGTGTGCGTGTACGTGTACATGTATGTGTTTGGATGAAGGATGGAGCAGGTGTGGAGGCCATAAAAGGCAAAACAGGAAGACGAATGGCCGAGTCGATAGGGAGACACGTCTCTGTGCTTCTCTTCTTCCTCTCAGTGGTGATTCCCTGCTGCTGCGTGGGAGAGCAAGGGATCACTGCAGCAGTGTGTGTGTGTGTGTGTGTGTGTGTGTGTGTGTGTGTGTGTGTGTGTGTGTTTGTGTGGTTACAGCAATGTGTGCGAGATGGGAAACAGAGGGAGAGCAAACACGAGCATAAAAGTGAGAAACAAGGCAGAAAAAAAAGTGCTGTAGCAGCCATACATATTCCCTTCATGTCCTGTTTACATTCGACTGAAGACTTTTCCTTTAGCATCTACTGTCAGTGTAAACACTGTGCGTGGAGCTAAAAAAGAAGCTTTTATCTCCCTTTAGAGTGTGGTTGTTATGGACGTTACTAATTCTTATAGCTAGCATTTGATGGAGTGAATAAGCATTTTAGAAGACAGAGGGTGTGTTTTACAGAAGTAGCAGCAGGTCTGGTGCACAGCTAACTCCAGTATCAGTAGATACTCGTGTCCCCTCAAGCAAACTGTCCAGACTTTTATAATGCAGGTGTTAGATAGACACCAATAACAAAACAGATTAGATAGCTCAGATTAGATTAGTGAATGTCCGTCTCTCTATGTTAGCTCTTTCAA